TTTTCACAATTAGAGACGAGTACAAATTTTCTCTCTGGGTGTATGCATATCTATACCTATATATATATATATATATATATATATATATATACATACACGTATGTTCTTTTATACACTATCCTTAGATTTATTTAAACATCTATTATTTTCACCATAAACAAAGTCGCTTTCCACATTTCATTGGTGTTGCGTCATCGTCTCATTCGGTAATTCCAAGAGAGTATTTATATCGACTATTTACGTTAGCGAGAGAAGCAACTATGAATGAACGAGGGTCTTAACTTCCCGTAAACATCGTGCTTACTGTAGTATTCTAAAATTAGATATAGAGAAAATATATATATATATATATATATATATCTAAATGTCCTTCAAGAGCAATACTAACAAAATATTGAAAATATTTTCAATACAATATAAAAGTAAATCATTGAATTAATTAATCCAATTGAACTCAAACAAACCAATAAACAAACAAACAAACAAAAGAAAATTTATTACAAAAGGAACATATCAAAAATATTCACCCCCTAATCTACTACCCTCAACGAATAATAAGAAATTTCAACAGGGTAACTAACTGTAAAGGAAGTAATCACCCACGTCATCCATTTAATCGATAAAACGAGTGACAGAAAAATCGTTCACTCTTAAACACAGAAAGGAAAGGAAAGGAAAGGAAAGTAAAGGGTGGCTCTGATGGAACACACCTTTTTTCGTTACAACACCTACAACTAAAATAGAATAAATATTATACAAGTGAAATTGTTTTAAAGTACTCTATTGTGTAAACAATCTTAATGAACCATCAATAATCCTAAAATATTAATGATAATTGTAAACAACACTAATCGTATTCTTGCAAACATGTTTTGGAATACAATGTCTAATGTTACAACAACAAATTCAAGACCAATACAAATATCAAGAACTATAAGTGCGGTTGTTACTTTACCACGTGTACGAAGATCAATCGATTCGATGGTAGGTGGTGGTGGTGGTGGTGGTGGTGGTGGTGGTGGTGGAGGTGTTGGTGTTGGATGGACAAATTTAACAACAACAATTATTAGCACCAATCTTTCCAATAGAAATGTTACTTTTGATCAACCAATTGAATATGAAGAAGATAACTTCACTGAAGATTGTAGCTCGATGGATTTTTTACTCGAATTATTTCACACATATTACATACCAGCCATTATTTTACTAGGATTGGTTGGAAATTTATTATCATGCGTGGTATTTTTAAATACCCATTTAAAAATGCGAAGTTCCAGTTATTATCTCGCAGCACTGGCAACAGCAGACTTTGGATTTTTAGTTTCGTTACTTTTGGTTTGGTTAAATGACACCGTTGGATTAATGGTATTTAACAAAGATGGTTGGTGCGAAACTTTGGTCTATGTCAGTGCTGTTTGTAGCTCGCTCAGCGTATGGTTGATCGTAGCATTTACCGTTGAAAGATTCATAGCAGTGCAATATCCGTTACATCGACCACACATATGCACGATTGCACGTGCAAAAGCTATCATTTTAATATTGGTCATACTAGCCTTGGCAAGTCATTCGTATGCATTTATTACAGCAGGTGTTGTCAAAGTTCCCGATGGTTATGAATTTTGTGGTCTTAAGATAGAACACCTTGAAACAATGAGAATCATTAGTATCATTGATACCATTGCAAGTTTGATAGTACCATTGGTACTTATCACTGTTATGAATACAATGATCACGAGAAATCTTCTTCGATTTAGTCGAAGATTCAAACAAACACCTAGCGTATCCACCACCTGTCCAAGCAGAGAAAGATCTGAAATCAACTTAAACCAAATTCCTGTGAGTATCACTGAATCTTAGTTATATTATCTCTTTTCTATCTTTCTCTTTCTCTCTCTCTCTCTCTCTCTCTCTCTTACATACTTTTACCAAAACATTTACTTAGTTCAAGACAATATCCAAGAGTTCTTCTGCATGATATCTTCATAAATACACAATCTTATCTTTTCCACTTTCTCGTAACGTTTTATACTTAAAACACTTAACATATTTCAGTTTAGTGAGTGTATTTATATTTCAACTTGGATTAAAATGTAGATATACTTATTGTTAGTTAACAAATAATTTACAATATTATCTTCTTCTTCTTCTTCTTCTTCTTCTACTTCTAAAATATTCCAATTACATGGAAGAATACTTGTTAGGTTGGTATATATATATATATATATGTTTGTTTGAAACATCAACAAACTTTGATACGGCACAGCTGTCCCATAGGACATGCGAGTAAATTTATTTTGTAAAGAATCTTTTATAATTCAACTTAAATTTATTAACACTGGGTAAAAATTGTCATAAACTATTCCTTTTTATAATCTTACAAGATTAGTCAAGAGAATAATTTGAGACTATTTCAAACTGGATTTATCTAACAAACTCTAATACGTAAAGTAATATATTTTCTAAATATAACGAAAATACAAATTCTATTTCTATCTTTTTTCGTGATATATTGTATAGTGATATTTTTTTTTTCTCATGGGGAATTTACCCACATCAAACCACAAAACCCTCGTTAAATCTCAAAAATCCTATTACATTCTAACAACAAACACATTTCATACGACGTGATTTAGAACCTTGTTATGTTTCGATCTGTCAAGTAGTTTTTCTTGGCAACGTATCAAAAAAAATGAAAAATCTAAATCAATATTTTTGTTTAAATTTTATTTAATTTTTTTATTTTTTATTCTTTTTTCATTACCATAAAGATAATAAAAATTAATATGTAATTAATCAATGACAATTCTTCGATATAAAATTAATATTATGAACAATTTGGTTTAATACAATTTAACATTTAATTTTAAAATTGCAATCTACAAAAAATTTGTTATAAAAATATTAAAAAAAAACAAAATACAAATATTGTTTAATATGTTTATCATATTAATATATTGTATATATAAAATATATAAAAATAATAAATAAAATAAATATAATATATAATAATATTTATATATATTTATAATAATANTTATATATATTTATAATAATAATATTATATAAATAAAATAAAAAATAAAAACAAAATATACATATATATTTGAGATCTAAAAATTTGTATAAAAAAAAAAAAAAAAAAAAAAAACAATACAAATATAGTTTATAAATTCCCAATATTTAAGTTAGAACGATAAAATTCATTGAACAAGAAAATAAAACTATCTTGAATTAGATTCACTTGATTTATAAGTCGTTATCTTTAGTTATAAATGGATGTTTGATGCTATCAAGACGGTAATTGGTCGATGATCATTGCTTCAAATACTCTCAAGTGGTATCAAATCATCTTTTCTGCAGTTAGTCGTTCTTAGCTACTCGAGTTGATAACACACAACAAAATTGTACAGTTTCATTTTTCAAGATATTTTTCTTTTCATTTCGAACAAACTTAGAAGAAGATATATTCACGTTCCAACAAAAAAAAAAAAAGAAATACTTCAAAGAAGAATTTATTATGGATATCATAGTGATTATTTTAACAACAATTGTCATAGTTTTGAGTTGTTATTATTATTTTTATATACAAAATGATGTTTCTTATTTCAAAGTAAATCGATTACCACACGATCAACCATTACCAATATTTGGCAATCTTGCAGAATTTTTTTTCCGACGTAAACCAATTCATTTAATATTGACAGACATGTATCATAAATATTCGCATACGAAATATTTCGGATTTTACGATTTCAAAAGTCCGATTATAATACTACGTGATCCTGAATTAATCAATTCAATTGGTATCAAAAATTTCGACAATTTTACCGATCACACGAGTTTTATCATCGAACACGAGCCATTATTGGCAAAAAATTTGTTTCAATTACGCGGTGACACATGGCGTGAAATGAGAAAAACCTTGAGTCCAACATTTACATCGAGTAAAATGAAAATGATGTTTCCTTTGATACAAGAATGTGCAGATCATTTTGTTCGTCATATTGTTGAAAAATCATCAACAAATAATGGTTGGATTATCGAAATGAAAGATATATTTAGTAATTACACGAATGACGTGGTTGCAACTACTGCATTTGGTATTCGCATAGATTCCATGAAAAATCCAAACAACGAGTTTATAACATTGGTCAAAAAGGTGTTAAATTTTGACAGTATATTATCATTAAAATTATTATTGGGTAGAAATTTTCCATGGTTATTTGAATTATTTCAAATCAAATTATTTGGCGACAAGGTGCATAATTTTTTTCGCAAAGTTATCATAGAAAGTATACAAACTAGAGAATCAAATGGTATTGTTCGTCCAGACATGATTCAATTGATGATGGAATCGCGAAATAAAATGCAATTAACTTACGACGATATGACGTCACAAGCATTTCTATTTTTTTTGGCTGGATCTGATGCAATCTCAACGTTCATGAGTTTTCTTACTTACGAATTGGCATTAAACAAAGAAATACAAATCAAATTGAGAGATGAAATAGACGAATGCTTGAGATTAACCAATGGCCAACCAACTTACGATAATATCATGAGCATGAAATATTTGGATGCTGTTATCAACGAAACTTTAAGACTTTATCCATTGAATGTATTTATCGATAGATATTGTTCCAAAAGTTATCAATTACCACCGACAATGCCGGGAGAAAAATCGTTCACCATAAAACCTGGTACCAGTGTATGGTTTCTACCATATGCCATACACCGTGATCCTAAATATTATCCTAATCCCAATAAATTTGATCCTAATCGATTTATCAATGGTAACATCGATCCATTGGTTTATTTTCCATTTGGTATTGGTCCTAGAATTTGTATTGGTAATCGATACGCATTGATCATTTGCAAAGTTGTTTTTTTTTATTTTTTAACTCATTGTGAATTTTTATTATCGTCTAAAACTACGGTACCAATGAAATTTAGTAAAAAAAGTATGATCATGACGGCTGAAAATGGTTTCTGGTTGAAAATTAAAACGCGAGATGTTAAAACGATTATTTCACGAAAAGAAAGAAATTAATTAATTAATTAACAATAATAATTGAATAAATTCAAAATTGTAATTTAACGTGAAATTAAAAGAACAAAAATATTATAATAAAATAAATAATAGGCCTATTATTTATTTTTTATTTTTATTATTATAAAAAAAAAATCTAATTATGTCCTAGTTTAAATAAAAAAGAATTCTAATTGCAAGAAATGAAGAAACAAATTATTAATAATAATAATAATTGAATAAATTCAAAGTTGTAATTTAACGTGAAATTAAAAGAACAAAAATAAAAATATTTTCATAAGATAAATAAAAGTTTTATTATTTATTTTTATTATTATAAAAAAAAAAGTCTAATTATGTCCTAGTTTAAATAAAAAAGAATTCTAATTGCAAGAAATGAAGAAATAAATTATTAATAATAATAATAATAATAATAATAACTAAATAAATTCAAAATTGTAATTTAACGTGAAATAGAAACAAAAGAAATATCATAATAAGATAAATAATAGTTTTATTATTTATTTTTATTTTTTATTATATTATAAAAAAAAAATAGTCTAATTATCCCTCTATTGTAATAAAATTTGAAACAAAAGAATTCTAATTGCGAGAAAGAAAATAAAATAAAATAAAATAAAATAAAATAAAATAAAAAGAAAAAGTAAAAGAAAAGAAAAAAGAAAACGTAAAACACGTAATTTTATTAAGATTCAATTTAAAATTATTGCAATTAAATAATTATTATAAAATAATTATAGAAATTGTTGTTCATTTATCAACATTACGAGTATTCCTTCTAACGTAAAATGCAAATAATGCATGTCAAAGATTTGAAAATAATTTTTCTAAAGCCGCTGCTTTTATTTTCTTTTTTTTTTTTTTTACTTGTATATTAGTGAAACGTTTCTAACAGGAAAGATTGGGGTTTGTCGACTATTTTCGAACGATGCTTATAAATATCCCCTGTGACTTATGTAAGCTTTACCATTCATCTTTACACAACCAACACTTTTATACATCATCGAGACACGTTTCTCTTCATTTTTTTATGTGGTTAACACATTTCGTTTCATTTATCAAAAAACAAAACAAAACAAAACAAAAAAAATCCAATTAATTATATTCTTTAATAAATAACTTGCCAATAGATTTTCAAAGAACATTTTAATCGTCAACTGTTGTTGATTGATCAAAATTGACAATTAAGTGGGAGGATACTGTAAAGTGAACAAAAAATTATTTTTAAAAAATGTATACTCACATGTAATTCATCGGAGAAACATAATAAACAATGTTATACGATAGATGCAATGATATCTTGTAACTGTTCTTTTGTAATACAATACGTATAAAGTTACAATTAGATACATTTAATTATAAATAACTCTCTCTCTCTCTCTTTCTTTTTCATTTTACAAATATGTCGCATTTAAATGAATGTTTTTCGTACCACTGATTCAGATTAAAATCAGAAAAAGAATTTCTTCGAAATAATATCAACGCGTAGGTTTATCAATTGACGATATACATATATATATTTCATAATAATAATAATAATAATAATAATATAACATCGTATTGTTTATTACGAGTTTTAAATGTCATAAGGTATGACGTGTACAAATAATTAAAAAAAAAAAAAAAAAAAAACTAACAAATTTTTCATACTACTCAATGAAAACGACCACCAATTTTACTACAAAAATTATTTCAATTTTTCTTTTCTTTTATAATATATTTTTTTTTAATTATTCAAATTGTTTTTTTTTTTTTTTTAATAATATTTAAATTCTTACCTGACTAGGTAAATAAGGTTCTAGTAAATAATAGTTATAAAATCTATTAAGTTGTATCAAGTTATATTTAAAAAAAAAAATAAAAAAAAATAATAATAATAATAAAATACACGTGGGAGAGATATTTTACACTTCTTAATGAATATAAAGTTAATTAATATGAATGAATGTTATTTAAAATCACATTTTATCTCATTTTATCTCATTTTATCTGAATAACAAAATTAATAACCAAAATTCGTTTCACGCGTTTCACTTTTGTCACAATTATTATGAAAATGTCTTCACATAATTTTCTCATTTTTTTTTTTTTTTTCAACCAACACAACAAAACAACAATTTGCCATTAAATACGTAACTACATATATATATATGTGTATATTTTTATTTTAAGAGATTTTATAACGATCTGTATTTTAAAACTCAATATATTCTCATGGTTCAGTTCTCTTTATCGATTAAAACACGAATATATCGAAAGTCGTGTTACTTCGTTACAGTTTGCGAATACGAGACCCATGTATCATGTATTTTTTATTTCTTTATTTTTTGGTTTTTTTTTCTTTTATTATTTTTTTTTTTTTAACGACACATATCCATCTATCGCTTTTTCATCTTTTTTTTTTTTTCTTCTTCTTCTCTTTTTATATACGAACGTTAAATATTTTGTCGTCGAGTTAATAAAAAGAAGAAAAAAAAGAAACAAATATGTGAACACAACAACAACAAAAATAATAATAATAATACAGTTAGTAAAATCAATCAAGATATGATAAGACCCCTAACCTTTGATACTAATCGATTTACTGAAATTAATAGCATAACTACAGACCTAGTAGACTGCTGCTTTATATCATTTAATATTCAGTGTCAAGGCTGTATAATATGCATGATCAAACTGTTTACTATGATATATGGTATGTGTTTATCGATAACTATAGAAATACGAATGATCTAACAACAAGGGAAATCAAATTATAAAATTATGTTATACATATGATAATAACGATATGTATAACAAGTTATAACAAGTGAAATTAAATATATGAAAATATGTTATACATATATACATGTTATAACACATGAAATGAAATTATTATTATTATCTAATAATAAATTCTTAAATTATTAATTTAAAAAAGAAATAGCAAAAAAAAAAGATATTTTGATATTTTGTACGAGCAATGGAAGTAAAGGAAGATATATAAAAAAAAGAAAAAAAAGGTAAATTAATATAAAAATAAGAACCTTTTTTTTTTTTAAATGTAAGATGATAATGAGAGAAGAAGAAATCAATAAAATAAAAAAGATACGCGGTAGATTCAAACAAATGTTGTGTTAGCATCTACAAAATATCAATAAGCTTATCTACTTGAAGTTGAATAATAATAATAATAATAATTATTAAAGTTGTTGACCGTGACTATTTATACTATTCTATTATATTATTTTCCGTTTGATGTTTAGTAATCTAAATTAATACATCTGTGCATTTCCTTTGTATACCTCTAGCATTTCTATTTTAATATTTAAATAGATGATAGTATGCATTACAAAATTTTGTGTTTATTCTATTATAAAAATAAAAATAAATAAAAATACAAAGATTATTGTAACAAATATAATATGAATGAAATATATGAAATATTTATTAAGATGATAGTATGCATAACAAAATTTGGTGGGTTCTATTATAAAATAATATAAAATAAAATGAAATAAAATAAAATGAAATAAAATAAAGCAAAAAATAAATACAAATAAAAATACATAAAAATAAATAGAAACAAAATTATTGTAACAAATATAAAATAAATAAAATATATAGAAATAATATAGATGACAGTATGTATTAAAAAATTTTGTTGATTCTATTATAGAATAAAACAAAAAATAAATAAGTAGAAAAAAACACTATTCTAACAAATATAAAATAAATCAAATATATAATTAATAGATGATAGTATGCATCACAAAATGTTGTGTTGATTCTATCATAAAATTAAACAAAAATAATTGTAAAAAATAAAATACACATGAAATAATTAACTAAAACTAAAAGTAACATATTGCAAAGGAAAAAAAAAGAAAAAAAAAAAAAAAGAAATGAAAATGAAGTATCGACATTTCATCAGGAGAATACTGTTTGTCGAAACGAATACTTGCGCAAAAGATACCCAACCAATTTGTATAGTATCGAAAGCTGATTGGCACCCTGAGAAGTTTTCTATTAATCGAAGGATAGTAGCAATGCTCTGTCAGTTAATCTTTCAACATTAATAGACAGACACAAGATCCATCTATTCGTTAACAATAAATACATTTTTCATTATGACAAAGATATATTATTATCATTTTCATTCTAACTGATAAATAATATATATATATATATATATATCAATTTTAATTAAGATAACATGAACGAATAGAAGCTTATAAAACTTATTATATCTTCTATTATTTATAAATAAAATTTTTCTTTTTTTTATTATTATTATTATTATTATTTAACGATTAATAATATCAATATAAACAAAAACTCAAGATTCTTAATAAATAGAAAGAAACTTTCCATTCGTCCAATTTAATCTCATTTGTCGAATGCACTTTTATTTAATGAAATACGTGACACAATTTCGACCAATCAGATTTACGATGTACCGATTCTCTATTGGAAAACTATTACCAACATATTTTTATTTTTCAAATTTAATCCACGTAAATAAAGGTTTGTTTAAAATTAACATCGTTTCATAATTCAAATAATAATTACATCTACCAGAAATATAAAAAGAAAAATAAAAAGAAAACATTTCAAGTAAAACAATTCCTAAATTTAATTCATCGATAAAATACAACCATAAAAATTCTATAATAATAAAAACAATAATTTTGTAATTTCGTAAATGTTGTAAACATTCATAAATCAATGTGTTCTTTTTTTTTTTTTTTGTAAACGTTTAACACGTAATCATACTTAAATAGAATATCGTTGATCGTGCTCATAGACCAAAATTCATTCTATTTAAAATACATTTACAGAGTACAAGTAGCAGTAACAAAGATGCTGGTGGTATTAATATGGGTACAAACATTGGAGGACGTAGACCACCATCTCAACAATCTTTTCATTCTTCGAAGACCAATCATTCGCAAAATTCAAGGCATCAACCTACATCGATTGCATTACCACCGTCTACACCGAGAAATGCATGCAAGTTACCAGAAATAGAAGCTAGATGTATACGTGAGTTTAAAACTAGTTTTACTTATGTAAACGATCAATAATTTTTCGTATATTTGTAAATACGTTTTGCTATATGTACATTTAACATCAACATTTATTTTCTTTTTTTCTTTTTTTTGTATAAACAATTTTTCAATTTATTTATATACACACACACACACACACACTCGTCGATAGATAAAATCTTTTTACGTTGTCGTCTCATTTTGTACGGTCGAAATATTTATTCTATAATAAATTCATTTTATCTCGAGTGTTTAAAGCGAAACGTTTTTAACATTCGTGTTAAAGATAAAACACGTTTTTTTTTTTTTTTTATGTTAAAATTTAAATTTTACACGAGATTCCATTGTGTTATAAATAAAATTACCATCACAACATTTAACGACTTAAATTTTTATTTAAATTTTTTTTTTTTTTTTTGAAATATTTTATTTACATGGTTTAATAAAGCAAAACCGCATGGAACGAATAATCTACATAACTCAAAACAAAATAAATATACGCGTGGTTAAACATTTCTTTCACAAAAAGAAAAAAAAAAAAGAAATAAATATAATTTAAATTTTATGTTATAAAATAAAATACTTTTTTAAATTTAATCGTAAGAATATTCTTTTATCTTTCAGATGTACGATCATCTTCACGAAATCTCGCATCCACTAGAAATCAACAAAGTATTACAAAAATGCTTTTACTGATCAGCACCGTTTTTATCATTCTCAATTCCCCAAGGCAAGTGAATATAATTATAAATAATATTTAAACAATTTTCATTTAATTAAAAATAATGTACCTTACTTCAAATTAAATGCAATTAATATATTTCCAACAATAAAATGATAATAATCAAATAATTGGATAATAAATTCACGATGGAAAAATATTATATTAAAAAAAAAAAAAAAAAAAAAATAGAATCTAACTAACAAAAATTTATAATAATAATAATAATTATTATTATTTTTAATCGTATGAAAAATATATATTTTTGATCTCTTTAGCTACGTGATACGTTTATGCGTATTTTTCTTCACGCTTGCAAGAAGAGACACACCGGGCCTGCTCTGGTGTCTTCAACAGTTTTTCATGTTACTATATTATACCAACTTCAGTATCAATTTTCTCCTTTATGCTATGTGCGGTATAACGTTTCGACGTTGTCTGGAACAACTGTTGCGCAAAGTTTTGAAGAGCATGACGAGGTACCATTGCAATCCTCAGAGATACATATAGCTATTTCGCCATTATCGATCCGGAAGAAGTCGAACAGAAACGATCATAATGATGAACATTAGAGAACCGGTTAATTCATAGACTATCCGTTTAAATGATCATCATTTTCAATGACATTGAATAATAATCTAATTTAAACACGGATTTAATCTTTAACAAAGACTGAAACTAAATGATACGAAAAATATTTCAACAAACATGAATAATGATCATGATAATGATGATAATGATGATGATGATGATGATGATGATAATGATGATTCACGATTTTTAATATCGGTCAAACAATTATCCTCAACAATTACTATTTTCCAAGTTTCTATTAACCAATTTAATGTAGTGGCATCCTCATTTGAGAACACGCACCTGTTTTGTGTCACAAGAATTGAGCCATGGACGTGTATACTTGTCAAGAGAAAAATTGTACTTTCTATTAAATGACGTGTATACTCGTCAAGAGAAAAATTGTACTTTATATTAATTGACGTGTATACTCGTCAAGAGAAAAATTGTACTTTCTACATGACGAGTATACTCGTCAAGAGAAAAATTGTACTTTCTACATGACGAGTATACTCGTCAAGAGAAAAATTGTACTTTCTACATGACGAGTATACTCGTCAATAGACAAAATCATGTCACTTCTTCATGACGAGTATACGATCACAGTTAACTGGTTAAACGAAAAAAAAAAATATATATATATATATATATATATATGTATGTATTTATATGATATAACCATGACAACGAAGAAATAAATAAATAAATAAATAAATAAATAAATAAATAAATAAATAAATGTGTGGTAAATATAAATAAAAATGATTTCTATCGTAAGATTTGATATTGGTCGTGTCATCATAGTTTCAATATACGGTGGTATGCATGTTATACGAATTTTAGTAGTCAGTCACAGGGACACATCTGCTACTTGAATTACAATGTCATCGATACGGGGATGATATCAGGGGCGTTGTCGAGTGGTAAAGCAGGATATAGTGATATGCTCAAAACAATATTACTATCTCTGTTTACATGCTGATCGATAGTTACTTAAAGATAATGCTACTACAGTAGTTGTATCTGTTGCAACCGGTTAATGATAAACAAGATTTATTTGAAGTATACTTTATTAAATTACACGCAATATAAATACGTGTGCACAAATATATCAATTGAATTATAACAGATAACAAAGAAATAATAGAAATAATAAATATTCTTTAAAGATAAAATCTCTCGCGTTTCAATTGAAAAGAATTTGTATTTTTTATTCTTTATTTTCAAATATATTTAACAATGTATTCCACGAAACTATAATATTATATAATAAACGATAATATTTTATATCTTATATATTATACTATAATTCAGCACCAATATAAAAAAAAAAATATATATATATATATATATACGTATAGTAATATTCGAACGGGAAATGATTTTTTCCGTTAGAGTAACATTAACTAAAAGTCATATCCAAAGTTTCATGTTTAAAAGATCTGGTAAAAGAAAGAAAATAGTAAAAAAAACATCACCTTCTTTGAAGGTTATATAAACCATTACAACCAACTTTTACGTACATATGACACGATGAAGATATGAGATTTACGAGCTTCATCTGAAAGCTTTGGAAATCTTTTTAAAACATTAGAGATATATATATATATATATACAGGGTGTCTTATAGTACTTTTACGTTAAATTTTACATCCCATATTTTATGAGTAAACATAAGAATAAAAATGTTATTTTAAATATACAACTGGTAACATAATAGAAGCTCATTTTTTATTGAAATTATTCAGAAATATTTTATCATGATGTTTCATTAATATTTATAAATTTAATTAAATGCTTTTATCAATACATTATACAATAATTTAATTACCATTATCCCCATAGATGGATAAATGATTTTTAGTTGTGGTGGAACACCAGAATGAAAAAAAAAAAAAAAAAAGAAAGTGTTTGTCAATAACAAATTAATACGTGTCAGAGGAATGAATACAATGAATTAATGAAGTATTTACCACAATTAAGGAAAATGAAGAACAAATGAATAATGTAATAAAAAATTCAATTGAATTTTATGCAAATGACAATTCATACATTCGCAAATAAAAGGGACAACATTTTCAAATGAAATTATAATTTCAACCGAGACAATTTAAAATAATTCTACGTATAATATCGAACAAGAAAACACAATTCGTTCTATAATTTCGTAGATTTTCTTACAACATTTTAATAAACCATTTAAAAACTCACATTACTCTAAACATTCTACTCGTATTTTTTTTTTTCTCTTATAAAATATCCTGTTAAAGTTTAACGCGAAAAATACTATGACACACCCTGTATATATTTATTACATCATTTCATAAAAATAAAAAAAAAATATAAAAAAAAAAATCTAAAGCATCAAATTTTATTAAATCTCTTTGAAATTTGTCATTACACGTTAACACAACTCGTGAACAAATTTTTCAATTAATCTACTGTCGTTCATACATTGAAATAAAAGTTAAAAAAAAAAAAAAAAAAA